CACTACACCCCACTCCCCCCCCCACCACGCACACACACACACACATACCACCTCCCCCTCCCCCCGATCCATCCCCCAAACCCCCAACCCCCAACCCCCAACCCCCCGGCCCCTCCCGCCATCATCCCTCTCTAACCTCGGCACACTCCTCGCTGGCAGAGCCATGAACACGGCCCACCGTGTACTCCCGCTGGACAAAGTGGAGAAGAATGCTCTGCGAGCAGCCGTAGTTGCTCCTCACATCGAGTCTTTCAACCACTTTATCAACACCGCCATCCCTGCCATGGTCAAGGATATTCAACCTGTACGTCATACCCTCCTCCCGTCTTGTACAGCCCCTCGTTGCACGACGCCTTGCTGGCCTGGCCGGATGCGGCTGGATGGCTCATTTGATCAGATCCAACCGCACGCCCTTTTCCCCTTCCTCCCCCCCTAGCATGAGCATGGCGCTACCTTCGGCATGCAGAGACTCACTGACATGTGTATATACTATGTCTCCAGATGTACGTGGAGGCCGAGTCGCCGGCGCAGCAGTCTGTTAAGCTCTGGATCTCTTCGTTCTCGGTGGGCAAGCCCGTCGAGTCGGCGTCGGGCGTGGCCAACCCCACCGCGCTCCTCCCCTCGGCCTGCCGTGAGCGGAACATGAGCTACTCAGCGCCGATGCATGTGCGGATTATGCGGTCGGTCGATGGTGGCCCACCCATGGAGACAGCCCACGAGGTCGGGCTCCTCCCCATCATGGTCCAGTCGGACAAGTGCCATCTCAAGGAGATGTCGCCGAAGGAGCTGGTGGCCGTCGGCGAGGAGGCCTCCGAGGCCGGTGGCTACTTTATCGTCAACGGACGTGAAAAGATCCTCCGCATGCTCATCATGCCGCGCCGGCACTACCCGACCGCCATCATCCGGCCGTCGTTTGCCAAGCGCGGGCCGCAGTACTCGCAGTACGCCGTTTCGCTCCGCTCGGTCCGGCCCGACTGCTCCTCGGTCACCAACAACGTGCACTACCTTAACAACGGACACGTCAACTTCCGCTTCCTCCTCCGCAAGCGCGAATACTTTGTGCCGGTCGCTGTCCTCCTCCGCGCCCTCATGCCCACCACCGACCGCGAGATGTTTGAGCGCCTCGCCCAGGGCAACTTTGACAACACCTACCTTGTCTCGCGCCTCGAGATCCTCCTCTGCCAGGGCCAGAAGTTTGCCCTCTACACGCAGGAACAGGCCCTGGCATTCCTCGGCTCGCGCTTCCGCCCCATGCTCTACCACCCGCGCGCCTGGACCGACGCCGAGGTTGGCCGCGCCCTCATCCGCGACTACGTCTTTATCCACCTTGGCGACGACCTCCGCGCCAAGTACGATCTCACCATCTCCATGGTCCAGAAGCTCTACGCCCTTGTCCAGGGCCACATCCAGCCGGACTCGTCCGACGCTGCCAACAACCAGGAGATCCTCGTCGTCGGCCACCTCTTTGGCGCCATGCTCCGCGAGCTCCTCGAGAAGCAGCTTGGCGTCATCAAGCTCGGCATCCTCCGCGCCTACCGCCGCGGCGACTCCACCACCGACGTCGAGAACGCCATCTGGTTCTCGCGCCTCATGGCGCGCTCCACCATGGACATTGGCAAGCGCTTTGCCTACCTCATGGCCACTGGCAACCTCAAGTCCGACTCGGGCCTCAACATGGGTCAGGTTGTCGGCTACACCATCATGGCTGAGAAGCTCAACGTGCTTCGCTTCCTCGCCCACTTCCGCTGCGTCCACCGTGGTGCCTTTTTCTCCGAGATGAAGACCACCTCAGTCCGTAAGCTTCTCCCCGAGAACTACGGCTTCCTCTGCCCTGTCCACACTCCTGATGGTGCTCCGTGTGGTCTCCTCAACCACCTGGCCGCCAAGGCCCGCGTCGTCTCCACCGAGCCGCCGCCGGCCCGCCTCCTCCCGGTCCTCGCCAGCCTCGGCGTCCGCATGGTCACCGACCCGGGCGTTGCCCCGCTCGACCACGTCCCGGTCTTCCTCGAGGGCCGCATCGTGGGCTCGGTCGCCGTTGAACACGCCGCCATCGTCGCCGACCAGCTCCGCCACTTTAAGGTCCATGGCAAGTTCCACGTTCCGGCCACTCTCGAGATTGCGTACGTCGCCTCGGAGCTCCCGGTCCACCTCGTCCGGAGCAAGGCCGCCCAGGCGCCGGCTCTGCCCGCCGCGCACGGCTCCTCGTCATCCGAGTCGGACGACGACGCCGCCGCGCCGCCGGCCGGCAAGGACGCCGCCCGCAACGTCACCCTCCCGCCCGGCCAGTTCCCGGGCATCTACCTCTTCTCCGGGCCCGGTCGCCTCATGCGCCCGGTGACCAACCTCCGCGAGGGCAAGCAGGAGCTCATCGGCTCGTTTGAGCAGCTCTACCTCCACGTCGCCTGCCTCCCCGACGACATCCTTCCGGGCATCACCACCCACAAGGACGAGTCGCCGACCGATATGCTCTCGGTCGTCGCCCTCCTCACGCCCTTCTCCGACTTTAACCAGTCGCCGCGAAACATGTACCAGTGCCAGATGGGCAAGCAGACCTTTGGTTCGCCGTCGACAGCGTACGCCAAGCGGACAGACAACAAGATGTACCGCATCCGCACCCCGCAGACCCCGATTGTGCAGACCGAGGCCCACTCGGCGTACCAGATCGACGAGTTCCCGCAGGGCATGAACGCCATTGTCGCCGTCATCTCGTACACCGGCTACGACATGGAAGACGCCATGATCATCAACAAGCAGTCGTACGAGCGCGGCTTTGCCCACGGCTCCATGTACAAGACCGACCTCATCGACCTCTCCGAGACCTCGTCCGACGAGCACGGCATCGCCATGTTCTGCAACATCAAGCCCGGGACCACCGACGAGCTCGAGTGCAAGGAGCTCGACGCCGACGGCCTCCCGCCAGTCGGCACCCTCCTCACCAAGGGCTCGCCGTACTACGCCCGCCTCAACCCGGTCGCCTCCTCGGTCACCATCGTTCGCTACAAGTACGAGGAGCCGGCGTACGTCGATCAGGTCCGCGTCATGGAGCCCAAGACCGCCATGGCCCGCAACCTCGGCCTCGTCCGCGTCTCCATCAAGCTCCGCTACGTCCGCAACCCCATCATCGGTGACAAGTTTTCGTCGCGTCACGGCCAGAAGGGTGTGCTCTCGCAGCTCTGGCCCATGGAGAACATGCCGTTCACAGAGTCGGGCATCACCCCGGACATCATCATCAACCCGCACGCCTTCCCCTCGCGAATGACCATTGGCATGCTCATCGAGATCATGGCCGCAAAGTCCGGCGCCCTCTACGGCAAGTTCCAGGACGCCACCCCGTTCTCCTTTATCGACAACGGGCACGCCTCGGAGTTCTTTGGCGAGCAGCTCCGCTCCGCCGGCTACAACTACTACGGCTCAGAGCCCATGTACTCGGGCATCACCGGGACCGAGTTCTCGGCAGACATCTTTATGGGCGTCTGCTACTGGCAGCGTCTCCGTCACCTGGTCTCGGACAAGCACCAGGTCCGTGCCACCGGCCCGGTCTCCGACCTCACCCGCCAGCCGGTCAAGGGCCGCAAGCGCGCAGGTGGTATCCGCTTTGGCGAGATGGAGCGCGACTCGCTCATTGCCCACGGCACCTCGTTCCTCCTCCAGGACCGCCTCCTCAAGTGCTCCGACGCCCACACCGCCTTTGTCTGCGCAACCTGTGGCTCGCTCGCCGCCGTCTCCTCCGTCCAGGACGCCCTCACAGGCGTCATCTCGCCAGTCTGCACCCGCACCACATGCAAGGGCGGTGTCGTCCGCGAGCTCGAGCTCCCCTATGTCTTCCGCTATCTTGTCGCAGAGCTCGGCGCCATGGGCATTGCCATGGAGCTGGACGTCCGCGATCTCGAGTGATCGTAATGAACGCTCTCCATGCAAGCCACCACCACTCTCCACCCGTCTGCGCCACGCGCACAGCCCATGGAGACCCTTCCCGAGACCCTCCCTGCGCCCTTGGTGCAATTGGATCCTGCCACCGCTGCCGACCTCGTACCCGACGCCGCCATCTCTGCCGCTGCGTGGTATCACCAGGCGGCTGTCTCGGAAGCCCTGTTCGGCTCCTCAGGCGCTCGGGTCGTAGCCGCCCTCGCTGCCCACTATCCCGACCACTTTGTGTGGGCAACACAGTTTTCCAACGTTCATACCACATTTGCGTTTACCGAGCCGGGCTTTGTGCTCGACGATGTGGTTTGGCGTGGGCCGGAGCAGTACTTTCAGGCCCAAAAGGCGGCCCACGATCCGCCGACCTACGCCGATCTCGCGGCCGCCATGGCCGATGCCTCACCGGAGGAAGCCTTTGCACTCGGTCGCCGTGCCCCGCTCCGCGATGACTGGGAAGATGTCAAGGTTGATGTCATGCGGGTCGCTGTGGAAGCCAAGTTCCGCGCCGACGACAGCCTCCGGCAGCTCCTGCTCTCCACCGCCCCGCACGCCTTAGTCCAGATCAAGCCGCACGATCCGTTCTGGGGCACAGGTCGGGACGGATCAGGAGCCAACATGCTTGGCGATATGCTCATGGATCTCCGAGCCAAGTTGATGGCCGAGGTTGGGGAATGAGTGCGTGGCCGAGATTGGGGATGGGGTTGTGGATGAGCAGGCAGCTGAGCAGGCAGCTGAGCAGGCAGCTGAGCAGGCAGCTGAGTGCGAGACTGACCAAGGAACCTCGACGTGACTTGATTGGTCGGTGCGATACAATCGCCCCCCATCGATCACCCCCCCTCCTCATCGCCCCCAATCTCCCCCTCATCGCCCCCAATCTCCCCCTCATCGCCCCCGATCTCCCCCTCATCGCCTCAACCAACGCCACTACACCGATCCTTCACCACTGGCCCCCCTCCACCACATCCATCCCGCTCCCCATCTCCCCCCCCCCCCCCCTCCCGCCCTCCCTCGACCATTCCCCCACGTGATACAATCGTTGGCTCCACCACCCACCACCCACCCACACCACCCACACCACCGGGCCACCGTCGGACGGGCACACCCCACGCCGACCGACGACAAGCACGGGAGGGAGGGAGTGGCAAGGAGGATGCAGGCCATGAACAGAGCCATTGCAGCCGCTGAACGGTATACCAGCAACCTGGCGCCGCTTGCAGAGAAGACGACAGGCCTGGCTACGTACCTCTATCTCCCTACCTTGGGAGCACTTGCTGTGGTCACCTACGCCTTTGTGCTGGAAACAGGCGTCTCTACCTCGTCGACCATGCATATGCAGATGTTAGTCGTATTGGGTATGATCATGGCTCTGGCTCTGGCTCTGGCTCTGTGGAGAGCAAAGGATGACGTGCTGTATTACGCTGTCGTTGGCTTTAATCGTGTCGTCGTCAATCTCTACTTTCGCAAACTCGATACCGCCGGCAACGTAGACGCCATTCCCTCGCAAGGTCCTGTTCTTCTCATCGGAAACCATCAGAACCAGTTTATGGATGGCCTGCTCCTCACCGCTTTGGCTCCTCGGAAAGTCCGTCTCCTCACGGCTGCAAAGTCGTTGCATCGCCCCATCGTCGGCTCGTTTGCAAAGGGTCTCGGCTGCATCCCCGTCACTCGCCCCAAGGATGTTGCCTTTGTCGGTTCGGGCTCGCTCCGCCTTGACACCAATGCTGGAGAGGTCATCGGCTCAGCTGGCGCTAGCTTCTCGTCAGAACTGGCTCCAGGCTCGTCCATCGCAACCAAGGCTTTCACCGCCACCGTCGTCGAGGTCCTGGCCGACGACCGCGCCAAGGTCTCGCGAGTTGCCTTCAAGGGCAGCGCAGAGAGTGACGAGAACGTCAAGTCGCTGGCACCTGCAGCAGACACGCCTGCAGCGTACAAGGTCATTCCCAAGCTCGATCACTCGCAGATGTTCTCGGAAGTCTTTGAGCAGCTCGCATCGGGTGAGTGCGTCGGCCTTTTCCCTGAGGGTGGCTCGCACGACAACACCCACCTGCTTCCGCTCAAGGCCGGCGTTGCACTCATGGCCCTCGGCGCGCTGGAAAAGTTCCCAGACCTGGCGATCACCATTGTCCCGGTCGGCTTTCACTACTACGCGGGCTCCAAGTTCCGGTCCAAGGCAGTGGTCAACTACGGCGATCCGCTGGTCATTTCTGGCGCCGAGTGGCGCAGCGAGTTTGCCTCTGCCAAGCGCGAGACCGTTGGCAAGCTGCTGGGCATGGTGGAGGATGCGCTCCGGTCGGTCACCCTCAACGTTCCGGACGAGGACTTTCTCGACTTTGTCCTCGTCACCAAGCGACTCTACACCCCGCCCAACGTTGTTCTTACACCGTCGCAGAACCTCGAGCTGACTCGCCGCTTTGCTGTCGGCCTGCAGCGTGAGGATCTGCTCCACGATGAGGCCATCCTCGACGTCCGCCGCCGCGTCGCCGCGTACGCCGACCTCTGCCGCCGCCACGGGTACAGCCCCATGTCCGCCACTTCGGTCGCCACTCGCTCACTCTACGGCCTCAGGGCCATCCCGTACCTGGTTGTCGTCGCCACGGCCTCGCTCCTCGCCCTCGTCCCGGGCATCGTCCTCAACATGCCCGTCGGCCTCCTCGCCCGCTCGCTCGCCCACGCCCACGCCGCCAAGGCCAAGGCCGAGTCCTCGGTCAAGCTCCACGGCCGCGACGTCATCGCCTCGTACAAGCTTATTGTCGGCGTCGTCGCCATGCCTATCTGGTTCATCACCGTCCTCCTCGGCCTCCTCGTCTTCTCGCCGCTGACATGGACCCAGGTCGTCATCCTCGCCTTTCTCATGCCGCTCTACTCGTGGGTCGGCGTTATGTTCACCGAGCAGACCTTCCTCTGGTCCAAATCGGTCTACCCGCTCCTCCTCCGCATCCTCCCCTCCTACCGCGCCGAGGAAGCCGTCCTCGCCCGCATGCGCAACGAGCTCGCTGGCCACATCCGCCAGCTCATCGAGGACTATGACAAGGGCGGCTTTGCCGAGAACGAGCGCATCGTCCCGCTCAAGGTTCTCCAGGGCGCCGACGACTACGACGGCTGGATCGAAGAGACAAACTAACCTAAACTTGCCCGATGGCCACCTTCCTCACCCTCCGCCCATCGTGTGTGGTACTCCGCGCTCACTCGATCGACAGCGATTCCGCCCAATCCCATGGCGGTGTCCCACGGTGCGCATCCACGGCATTCGGTGTGATCAGCAAAACTCGCCCGACCATCACACCGCTCGGCTGTTCCACACTTGACTCGGGCGCAATCAAGCGGAATGGGAGTTACCAAGCCAGGAAGCAAGCGGGAGCGAGAAGATACATACGACAGTACAAGCCGGGAATCTAAGCGCCAGAAGGGCATCCATGCCCCATCACGAGCGTCTGCAGTGTCGCCGCCGCCGAGCGGAGCTGATCCCACAGCGGCGAGCCGAGCCGGTGGCATGGCAACCGGAGCTGCGGAGAGGACCGGCGGGGCGATGGCGGCGAGGGTGACGAAGATTAAGAAGAGCAAGAAGAAGAAGAACAAATCGAAAAAGGGCGTGCGTGCTGTGCGGGCTCCGATTGCTGTCAAGGCGGCCAAGCCGACCAAGCCGACTCAGTCGACCAAGCCGACCAAGGGTGCGACCGCGATGACCAAGCCGACCAAGTCGATGACGGCGGCGACGACCAAGCCGGCACAGATCACGGTTCAAGCCCATCCAGCCCACCCATTGCCCGCTGATCTGCCTGTGGACACCCACACACCAGCGATCATTCACTACATCCACAACCGCGAGTCGGATCAGCCGCTGAGCGAGGCCGAGTTTGCGGCGTACCAGGAGCAGTCGCTGCGGGGCGCGTCGCACTTTGACGCCTGCATGTGGGTTGAGGCTGTTCTCGCCAAGCGCGGTGGATCGCAGGGCAAGGCGCTGCTGGACGTGGGCGCGATCAACGCGCTGCGGTATGTGCCGGGCAAGCCGCCGCTGCGGCTCGGACGGGCACGGGCGATCGACCTGCATGTTCTCGGCGAGGACTCGGCTGTGGAACAAGCCGACTTTCTCGAGCTCGATCCGAAGCAGGAGCGGTACGACTATGTTGTGCTCTCGCTAGTGGTCAACTTTGAGGTCGATCCGCGGAAGCGCGGCGCGATGATGTTGCAGGCCAACAAGCTGCTGGCTGAAGCTGCACCCGATGCCGGCCTGTGCTTCTTTGTTCTTCCCAAGGCATGCTTTGAGCGGTCGCGCTATCTCAACTACGAGGTATTTTCGGATCTCTGCACCGAGGCCGGCTTTACCATCGAGGAACGGACAGTGACCGATCGGCTCTCGATGTTTGTGCTGGCCCGGACGAGCGCACCAGTGGGCTCGGGCGTGCCGCGGCGCAAGGTGCGGACAAACAAGGGTGCGTACAACAACTTTGCCATTATCATCAAGACGCCGGCGTCGGCTGCCGGCCCGACCGCCACTGCGGCGGCGGGCCGGCCGGGCAAGAAGCTGACGTCGAACCAGCGGAAGCGGGCGCGCAAAGCCAAGATGCGCGAGCTGGCGCGCAAGGCCAAGTCGCAGGCAGTGTAAAGAGAGGTTTATCACAGTTGGCCAGCGGCGGCCGGGGCCAGCTCGGCAAGCGCGACAAGGTCGACGAGCTCGGAGCGAAGGACCTTGATGACTGCCAAGTTTGCCGAGGTGCGGAGGAGGCACTGGCCGGCAACCACGGCAGCCGGCGGCGCAACGGTGGTCCGACGCGCGTGCAGCGACGGACCGAGATCGGCTGGCTCGTCAGCGTTGCGCGAGCCCGAGCCAGCCGCAAGCTCGAGTGCAGCGTCGAGGTCTGTCTGCAGCTCGTGCATGCGCTGGAGGAGCGCACGGCGCTCGGCCACGTGGTCGGCCCGCGAAGAGAGCAGCTCTTGCTGGGCGGTTGCAAGCCGGTCCGACGTCGACTGCAGCCGCTCGTACAGCGAGGCGACAAGGGCCTGCAAAGCCGGCACGGCCTCACCCTTGCGGCGCTTGAGCAGCTCTTCGTAGCGGGCAATGACATCTGCTAGGTCGGCATTGGCGGCTTGGATGCTGGCCATGCGAGCCTCGAGGTCCTCGTTGGTCACCACCAGCGTGCTCATGCCGTCAATGAGGGCGGCAGCCTCGCTGCGAGCCTTGGCCAGAGCTTCAGTGTAGTCGGTCATGGATGGCATCGCCGACTTGACGTCCTCCAGCTCGGCCCGCGTCTCTTGTAGCTCGGCCTTGACCGCCTTGTACTTGGCCTTGTTGGCCTCGGACGGAGTGCTGGCCAGGGCAGCCTCCAGCTCGGCCTGGGTCTCCTGAAGCTCAGCTTGGGTCTCTTCCAACTCGGCCTGGGTCTCCTCCAGCTCGGCCTGTGTCTCTTGCAGCTCGGCCTTGACCGCCTTGTACTTGGCCTTGTTGGCCTCGGACGGGGCGCTGGCCAGGGCAGCCTCGAGCTCGGCCTGGGTCTCCTGAAGCTCAGCTTGGGTCTCTTCCAACTCGGCCTGGGTCTCCTCCAGCTCGGCCTGTGTCTCTTGCAGCTCGGCCTTGACCGCCTTGTACTTGGCCTTGTTGGCCTCGGACGGGGCCTTGGCCCGCATCGTCTCCAACTCGGCCTGTGTCTCTTGCAGCTCGGCCTGTGTCTCTTGCAGCTCGGCCTTGACCGCCTTGTACTTGGCCTTGTTGGCCTCGGACGAAGCGTTTGCCAGGGCAGCCTCGAGCTCGGCCTGTGTCTCCTCCAGCTCGGCCTGTGTCTCCTCCAGCTCGGCCCGGGTCTCTTCCAACTCGGCCTTGACCGCCTTGTACTTGGCCTTGTTGGCCTCGGACGGGGCCTTGGCCCGCATCGTCTCCAACTCAGCAAGCACGACCGCTAACCTATCGCGAGTCTCCTCCAGCTCTTCCTGGAAGCCACTAGACAACGGCGCTGCGTCGAGAGCTTCATGTGACTCGCGAAGCATCCGGCGTGTGCCGGCCAGCTCGACCAGTGCATCGTTAAGCTGCAGTTCGGTCTGCTCAAGACGCTCGCGAGTCTCATCAAGCTCAGCTACAGCTGCGCTGGCACCCTCCAGCTTGGCCCGAGTCTCCCGCAGCTCGGCCTTGACCACCTTGTACTCGGCCTTGTTGGCCTCGGTCGGAATCCTGGACAGAGCAGACTTGAGTTCAGCCTTGGTTGCCTCCAGCTCAGCCTTCATCGCGCGATACTTGGCCTTGTTCGCCTCGGATGGTTGCCTCGCAGTATCGGAAACTGGCACAGACTTCAGCGCGGCTAGCTCCGCCTGCGCGAGCCCCAGCTTGGCACGCAGCCGTTCGTTGTCGGCGGACAGCTGCTCGAGCTCGCCTACCACATCGCGACCAGCGCGCGCCACCTGGACCACCGTCGCCGCTGCCGCCAGGTTGTGCCCCGACGGCGTCGTCTTCAGCTGCTCCACACTCTCAGACTCGGTGATCGTCCACGTATTCGACCGAGCCTCGTCTAGCTCTGCTCGCGCGGTTGCGGCCTCGGTACGCAGCCGCGCGTTTTCAGCAGACAGCTGCTCGAGCTCGCCCACCACATCGCGACCAGCGCGCGCCACCTGGACCACCGTCGCTGCTGCCGCCAGGTTGTGCCCCGACGGCGTCGTCTTCAGCTGCTCCATACCTTCGGCCTTGGCTTGCATCGCCCTCAGCTCTGCCCGCGCCTGCTCTAGCTCTTCACGAAGAAGCTGCTCTTGGTCCGCCGACTGTCGGTCAACCTTGCCCGCATTTGCGACCTCAACATGGGCCTGCTCCAGCTTGGCACGCAACCGCGCGTTTTCAGCAGACAGCTGCTCGAGCTCGCCCACCACATCGCGACCAGCGCGCGCCACCTGGACCACTGTCGCTGCTGCCGCCAGGTTGTGCCCCGACGGCGTCGTCTTCAGCTGCTCCATACCTTCGGCCTTGGCTTGCATCGCCCTCAGCTCTGCCCGCGCCTGCTCTAGCTCTTCACGAAGAAGCTGCTCTTGGTCCGCCGACTGTCGGTCAACCTTGCCCGCATTTGCGACCTCAACATGGGCCTGCTCCAGCTTGGCACGCAACCGCGCGTTTTCAGCAGACAGCTGCTCGAGCTCGCCCACCACATCGCGACCAGCGCGCGCCACCTGGACCACTGTCGCTGCTGCCGCCAGGTTGTGCCCCGACGGCGTCGTCTTCAGCTGCTCCATACCTTCGGCCTTGGCTTGCATCGCCCTCAGCTCTGCCCGCGCCTGCTCTAGCTCTTCACGAAGAAGCTGCTCTTGGTCCGCCGACTGTCGGTCAACCTTGCCCGCATTTGCGACCTCAACATGGGCCTGCTCCAGCTTGGCACGCAGCCGCGCGTTTTCAGCAGACAGCTGCTCGAGCTCGCCCACCACATCGCGACCAGCGCGCGCCACCTGGACCACCGTCGCTGCTGCCGCCAGGTTGTGCCCCGACGGCATCGTCTTCAGCTGCTCCACACTCTCAGACTCGTTGATGGTCCACGTATTCGACCGAGCCTCGTCTAGCTCTGCCCGTGCGGTTGCGGCCTCGGTACGCAGTCGCTCGTTTTCGGCCGCCAGATGCTCAAGCTCGCCGACCACATCCCGACCAGCACGCGCCACCTTGACAGCTGTCGCGGCCGTTGCAAGATTGCGGCTCACAACGCTCGGCTGTGTGCCATCGGCCACCATCACAATCGGCTCATCAAGCGCGTCTTCGAACACATCGCTCTCGCCATCCGACATCAATGACATCGGCGACGTCGCCCGCGGCGTCATAAACGTACCCAACCCGGCCGCCGCATCAGCCGCTGCCACCAACGAAAGCAACTCAAACCGCATTGTGTCCAACACGCTCTGGTAGTGGAACACGCGTTCGCCACCAACACCAACGCTCACTACAGGCACAGAGCCCTCGCCAGCAGCCGGCACAGTCAGCGGCATCTCCACAAGCGCCTCCAGCTCGCGCCGCACGGTTGACAGAGTTTGCACATACTGCACCACACGCGTCGTGTCAATTGCGACGCCGTCCTCGACTGCGGCATCCAACGACTCGCGGACTTCAGAGACTTGCTTCGAGAGGAACCCAACCTCCTCGCGGAGATCGCCTACCACGGCTTCGTATTGCGCCTGCTGCCGCGGCTCCATCCCCGGTTGCCCATTCGCGACAAGCTCGGCCACACACTCGCGTGCCTCGGCCACCACCGTCGAGTACTCTTCAAGCCGCCCAGCTTGCTGAGCAGACTCGCTTTGAACGGCATGCCGGACCTCACCGAGCTGCTCGGAGAGTGACTCAATCTCGGCCCGCAGCTCGCCGATGATGACCTCGTACTGCTCGCGGTACCCAAGTACCTGGCTCCGCATTTGCTCTATCGGCTGTGATGCCAGCCGCTCAATCTGCTCGTGCATCGTCACCACGGTCCGCTCGTACTCGGCCAGCCGCGTCATCACCTCGTCGTCCACACTCTCCGACTCAGCATGCAGCTGCGACTGCAGCGACGCAACTTCGTCGCGCAGGTCGCTGATGATGGCCTCGTACTCGTCGCGCGCTTCCAGCGGGTCACGACTCGCCGCCAGTGGCGCGTGTTGCACAAGGCTCTCCGCCATCTGGCGAACCACAAGCATGCTGTTCTCGTACTCGGCCAGCCGTTCCAGCGACAGTCCTGCAACTTGCTTTTCAAGCGCTGCAACGTCTGTACGCAGTGCCTGACTGGCGCCGTCGTTGCCCATATTTTGCACCATTGGCGACGCCACAAGCGCTTCAACGTAGAACCGCAGCTCGTTGAGTGCGCGCTCGTAGCCGGCAACCCGGGACGCCTCGATGCCTTCCGCAATCACCAGCTCTGGCGGCGACCGCGCACCAAGCTCCTCTAGCTCGGCAGTCAGCCTCTGCACTGTCGCGCGATACTCGACCAGGCGCTCGGCATTGCCGTCGGAACCACGCGGCGATGCCACAGGCGACGATGCCACAAGCATCTCTAGCTCCGCGCGCATGCTGCCCAGCACAGCTTCGTAGCTGGCTGTCCGCGCGGCTGCCTCGCTGTCGACCTTGGTGACAACAAGCGGCGTGACCATTAGCGACTCTAGCTGTCCCCGCGCATCAGCTACACGCTCTTCGTAGCCTGCAACATCAACCTCGGGGCGTTTCGGCGCAACTGGAACTATTCCAGTAAGCTCATCAAGCATACCACGAACCTTTGCCACGGTTGCCTGGTACTCAACCACCCGTCCAGCATCAATATGGCTTGCACCGCTCCGCGGCGACGTCACAATCAGCTCTTCGAGCCCGTCACGCACGCCCACCAGCGATGCCTGGAGCCGTGCCAGCCGCTCTGGCTGCGCAAGCACCTGCGCCTCCAGCTCCGCCACTCGCGCCCGCAGCAGGTGAACATCTTCATCCGCCTCCAGCGGTGCATGACTCACCACCGCAACTCCATCACCCTCAGCTCCATCGCGCTTAGCTGCGGGCGGACCCATCGCAATCAGCGCATCCATCTCGTCGCGAACCTTGGCAACAGTCTCCCGGTGCTCAGCCACCCGCCCAGTATCAGTCTGGCTGCCACCGCTTCGCGGCGACGTCACAACCAGCTCCTCGAGCCCGTCACGCACGCCCACCAGCGATGCCTGGAGCCGCGCCAGCCGCTCCGGCTGCGCAAGCACCTGCGCCTCCAACTCTGCAACTCGCGCCCGCAACGCATCCCGCTCACGCTGGTGAGCACTCCGGCTCCTCACCTGAACATGGGCCGCCTCGAGCTCGGACTCGAGCTCCTGCACCCGCTGACGGAGCTGCTCCACGTCCTCTCCGTGACGATCCTCATCACGCACAGCATCTGCGGTCACGAGCTCAACCAGCTTGGCTTCGAGCTCCGTTACCTGCGCCTTCAGCTCGCTCACCGCGACGTCCGCGTTCTGCACCACTTCGTTGGCAGCAAGCGAGACCACGGTCACCGCCCGCTCGTAAGCAGCCACGCGCTCCGCTCGGCCAATCACCACAGCCTCCAGCCGTGCAACCTCGTCTCGCAGCTGAACAATTCCATCCGCCAGCCGCAGCACATGACCGGGACCGGGGTTCTTCAGTTGCGCCAGGTTGCGGGCTTCCTCAGCATCGACATGCGCGTCGAGCATCGCCTCCGCCGCCACCCGCGCCTGCGTTACAGCCTCTACGTACTCAGCCAGCTGCTCGGCCTCGACGCCGGTCGGTCGAGCCTCACGCGCCTTCATCGCCCGCACCTCATCCTTGAGGATCTCCACCACCGACGTGTACTTGGCTAGATCTGCCTCGCTCGGCCCGACCCGCACAAGCACAGGATCCTTCGCCTCGGCCTCGGCCACAGCCTCGACATACGCCTGCTCAGCCGCGGCACGCGCCTCCGCCGCCGCCGCCCCAGACTGCGCCTGCACAAGTGCAATCACCGCGTCGCGCGCCTCGTCAATCGCCTCCTGGTACGACGCAATCTTGTCTGGCCCAATCGCCGCCGCGCTGCGGACCCGCGCTTGCAGTGTCGTCACTTCGTCGCGTAGCATCTTGACAATCTCCGTGTACCGCGAGACGTCGGCCTCGCTCGGGCCAGTTCGTGGCATCATCCGCGCCCTTTCGGCTGCAGTCTGTGCCTCTACAAGCGCCGTCACCGTAGCTTGCGCTGCCGCAACCGCGCCAGCGTACTCGGCCAGCTTGCCTGCCTGCTCGCCAGTTGCACCAGTCACTTGAAACTGGAGTGCCTCCACCTCGGCTCTGAGATCTGCCACCACTGCCACGAGCGCACCGGCGTGCTCTGCCTGCTCCGCCGCTCCAGTTTCCTGCTCCGCAAGCTGCTCCTGCAGCCGCGCCACTTGGCCTTTGAGCTCGGCCACGGCGCCGGTCGACTCTCGCCCGGCATCCAGCTCGGTTTGCAGCGCAATCAGCACCTCCACCTCGTTGTAGGCTGCCTGCACCGCCTCATGATACCCGACCACACGCTCCGCGACCACACTCGGGCTCTCAGCCACCGGCGCAGTCTCGCTTCGCACCGCGGATACCTCGGCAGAGAGCACTTCTACCTGGTCCTTAAGCATGTCAACCACATGCGCATACTGTGTCACCTTGGCGTCGTTTGCCACGCTCTTGGCCCGCTCCTCCTCCAGCGCAATCATCTGCAGCTCCTCGCGCTCCGCCTGCTGGCTGACAAGCTCGCTCGCCGCCGCACGCGCAGCATCCACAATCGCGTAGTACTCGGAAAACACCGCACGGCCTAAGCCCTCGGACCCGCGCGTGTTGATCTGCGTCCGCAGCGAGACAATCTCTGTCTTGAGCATGTCCACAACCTGCGCGTACTGCGCAATGTCATGTGTTGATGCTCGCGCCTCGTGCTCTGACTTGAGCGCCACGAGCGCGTCCATCTCCTGCCGCAGCTCCGAAACAACTGCCGCGTACGTCGCAACTTGCTCCCTTGCCACGCCTGACTGAACAACAGCTATCTGTGGCGACGACACTGCCACAGTCTCATCATCCGCCTCAGAAGCGCGCACCTCCACCGGAGCCACTGCCTTCGCCTTCTCATCCCCCAGTCCTCCGCGAGACACGCTCGCCTCGTGCTTGGCCACAAGCTGCTCAAGATCGGCGTGAGCCTTCTCCACAACAGCCTCGTAGCTCGCCACCCGATTGTGGAGGGCAACGATGGTGTTCCGCGCTGCGCTCTGTGAAGCCACAAACATATCCAGCTCGGCGGTAATCGCCTCGAGCTGTGTGTGATACGACGGCATTAGCGACGCTTCCGCAACCTGCGACGCCTCAATGACCCGCAGCTCGTGCCGAAGCTCGGCAATCGTAGCCTCATACGCCCGGATGAGCTCCTGCGCTGTCGCCAGCTCGGCTTCGGCGTCGTCAAAGACAAGGCTCGAGACAACTCGCTCCAGCCCGTCCTTGGGCGACGAGAGCTGGAGAGAAGCCGCGGCAGAGACCGACAATGCAACCGACTGCAGCGCCTCGGCACGCTCACGCGCCAATCGCTCGCGCTGCTGGCTCTCCGCAAGCTCTGCCGCGAGCCTGGCCACGTCCAGCTCAACCTCACCCATCCGCGCACGGGTCGAAAACAGCTCCTCCAGCGTCCCACGCGCCGTCGCAATCTGCGTCCGCCACTCCTGAATCCGCGCAGCCGACGCCTGCCGCGCTGTTGCATGACCCACGAGCCCAGTCACTGCCGACGATGCACGCTTCAGCATGAGGTCGCGCTCCTGGAGCTGCGCTTCGTATGCCGCCCGCTCGGCTTCCATATCGCGGTCGAGCTCGGCCAGGTTCGCCTCGTACTGCTCGATCATGGTGCTCACCTGCGCATGCACTGCCGCCATCGATGCCATGTCCTCCCGGAGCGCCATTACACGCTGCGTTTCGGCCGACGCTCCACCATAGCTCACTGCTGCCTGCCGCTCCAGCTCCGCTAGCCTCGCCTGGTCGGCCGCCCGCTCCTGCTGCAGGATCGCCAGTTCCTGCCGCAGATGCAGCACTTCCGGCACCACTTCACCTTGCGACGAGTCCCAACCGCCGTCGACCAGCGAGAGCGACCGCTGGAGAGCCCCAATCTCGTCTGCAGCGTCGGCACCGGCAGTCGCACCCGAGTCCACTCGCTTGCTGAGCTCTGCAAGGCTCTTGCGCGCCCCAACAAGCTCGTCGAGACTCGCCTCGTCGCCGGCAGCAATCACCTTTCCCAGCTCGTCCAGCTCGACCGCTGTCTGACCCAGAACCTTGAGCGCCCGCGCCCGGACTGCCCGCGCCACCGACGGCTCGTCAGCCTGCGCCTCGGCCCGACTGCGCAACGACGCCATACGGTCCTGCGCGATGCCGAGGATGCGCATCGCCGCAAACCGAGCCTCCGTCGGCGTCATGTTCTCGGCCGCGGTCTTCTTTGCCGAGACGCTAGCTCAACGTGGACATCGGCCAACTGCTCGCGCAGCGCGTTCTGGATGTCCATCGCCTCGTTGACCACGGACTCGGCCTGTGCACGGGCGCGAGTCAGCGCGGTAGCGGTGCTGCCAGGAGTGACAGCGTCACCATGCCCGCGAGAACGAACCAGCGCACTCTGCTGTAGCTGCGCCTCTGCCCGGCTTGCCCGCGCTGATGCATCAGCAAGCTCAGCGAGCAAAAGACGAGTGTCTTCGCCTGAGCCAGCCGCGATGCGGTGGAGGCGGCGATGCTCAAAGAGTTCGCGCTGTACCTCTTCCAACTCACCAAGGAGGACCATCTCGCGGTCGGACGCCGCCCCAGCCTCGCGCGCCGCGGCCAACTCGTCGCGCAAGACGGCGTTTTCCACCGCAGCGTCGACATGTCCTCAATCTCGTCGTCGTCATCAGCAAAGAGCCGCGAAGAGTCGCCATAGCTCGAAACACGGCGCTGAATCTCGCGCAACTCGGCGGTCTGCTGGGAAAGCAGTGACTCGATGTCGTCGTCTGAAGTCACCGGCTCGCCCGTTGTCAGGCTCGCAAGTGACTGGCGGGCTGCAGCGAGCGCCTCGGCAGTTTCGGCCGCCGCCGGCTCGGCCTTGTCCACTGCAACCGCAAGGTCACCCAGCTGCGCCTTGGTCTCATTCAGCACCGCCACAGAGCGGGCGCGGACGCCCGAAGCCGACGCCCGGACGGCCTCATCTTCCAACACCCGCATGCGCAGCGCAGCCATGCGTCCCTGAGCAATACCAATTGCCCGTGCCGCACGCTTACGAGCCACACCAGGCGGAACGCTCATATCAGGCTCGGACGCGGCCGCGAGCTGCACACGCAGCCGCGCGTTCTCAGCCCGCAGCGCATCCTGAGCGTTCTGGGCAGCGTCGACAACCTCGACGGCCAGTGCGCGTGCCTTGCTGGCCACAGCAGCCCGTGCGTCGATCGCAGCTGGCGGAGCATCGACGGGGCCACGCGTGCCAGCACACTCTTAAGCGCACCAATCGGGGTGCGCGCCTCCGAGAGCGCCTCCAGCTCGACCTCCAGATCGTCGATATGCGCAGCGATCTCACCGGCGCTCGCGTCTCCACCGAGCTCGAGAGCACGGATTCGGTTGTATGCAGCCTCCAACTCTTCACGCAAACCTGCATCTGAAGTCTCCATGGCATCGACGAGCGCAAAGGTGAGAAGCCGGACCTCGGAGAGCTGGGTCAGGCGAACAGGAGCCGCGACCGCAGGGTTAGCTGGCCTGTCGTCGTTCTCGCGAACCGCAGCATGCAAGTCGGCCATATCAGAGCGAGCCTCCGCAACATCGGCCATGGCAGTCTTAACCGTCTCGACCACCGACTCTAGTTGAACAATGCGGTTGTTGGCTGCTAGAAGCTGGTTGACTACTGCGGCTGCATCCGGCTCGGCCTCGCCGACCGCCACTAGCGCGGCCTGCTCCATTCGTGCTGACTGCTCCTCGGCAGCCTCGAGGGCCTCGACAAGCTCTGTGATGCGGAACTGTGCCTCGCTCGCCTCGACGACGACAGCCTCGACGGCGGTGAGGCCTGTCTCGAGCTCGCGAATGCGGTCGTGGGCAGCCGCGAGATCGTCTGCTAGCTCAGACTCACGCTCTGATGTGGTCATGTTGCCTGCCCGGGCTGCAGCTTCCTCGAGCTCACCGATACGTGCACGAGTGGCCGCGACATCGGCCATGGCACTCTGAACCGTCGCCACAACAGCCTCGAGCTCCAGAATGCGATCCCGGGCAGCCAACAAGTTGGCGCCCATGGCGTCGGGCCCCGCCCCGGCACTCGACGGCGCGACAAGCGGAGAGACGGCGCTGGCAGCAAGCTCGGAAACAAGCTCGGCAGCTTCGGCCACAGCGGCCAAGTGCAGGCGTTGCGCCGCCACCGACCCGGTGGCAGCAGTTTCCAGATGACCCATGCGCAGCCGCGCTGCCTCGACCTCGGCCACAGTGTCCTGGATAGTGGTCACTGCAATCTCAAGCTGGGCAATGTGCGCATGCGCCGCAGCAAGCTCCACTTTGAGCGTCGCCGATGACGGCGAGTCGGTGCGGGCGTGATTGGCTTCAGCCTCGGCCTCGAGCTCGATGATGCGGGCCTGTGCTGCCTCGACCTCGACCACAGTGTCGTCGATGGAGGCAACAGCAGACTCGAGCTCGACGATGTGGGCATGTGCCACGTCGAGCTCCTGTTCTAGGCGCGGCACGTCGGCCATAGCAGCCTCGAGATCGCGCTCGAGTTCGAAAATGCGGTCTTGCGCCGAGGAGACATCCGTGAGCGCACCTTGGACTACCGCAACAACCGACTTGAGCTCGGCAATCTGGTTGCGGGCCGTGGTGAGCTCGGACTGCAGCTCGGTCACAGTCTTGGTTTCGTCCAAAGGTTGCGACGTAACCGTTGACTCCTCCATAATAGTCGGCAGCGCCAGTCCAAGCGGCTGGCGCCGCGATTCGAGCTCAACAATGTAATCGTTGGCAGCGGCGAGGTCGGCCTCCAGGTCAGCGACGCGGTCCTGGGCCTCGGCCACGTTGTGCATGGCATCCTTGACAGCGGCAGCGACTTGCTTGAGCTCGGCAATTTGGGCGCGCGCTTCATCCAGCTCGGCGCGCAGTTCGACTGCGGCTGCGCTACCACCAGCCATGGCTTCAAGCTCGACCTCAAGGCTGGCGATGCGCTTCTTGGCAAGCGCAAGCTCTTGCTCGAGCTCAGTGACGCGCTTCTGGGCAGAGGCCACATCGGCGACGGCGTCCTCGACGGCGGCGGCTACCTGGCGGAGATCTGCAATCTGGGCCCGCGCGTTGTCAAGATCGGCTTGCAACTCGGCTTCAGTCGAGTCAGGCGCGAGGTGGGGCCGCGACGGACGGGCCTCGAGCTCGGCAATGTGGTCGTCGGCAACCGCAAGCTCATGTTCGAGCTCGTCGACGCGCTTTTGGAACGACCCGACATTGGCCATGGCATCCTGAACTACCGCGACAGCATGCTTAAGCTCGGCAATCTGAGCATGGGCCGAGTCGAGCTGCTCCACGAGGTCGGGGCGCACAGCGTCGGTGTCAGTCTCAAGCTGGGCAATATAGTCGCGTGAGGCGGCCAGCTCAGCTTCGAGAACCGCGACGCGCTCGCGGAGATCGCCCAGCTCGGACGGTTGCGACATGAGTGCCAACTGATCATGGGCTGCGGCGAGTTCGGAGACCACCAGATCGGCGGCGGCCTGGACATCTACCAGCTGCAGAGTCGCATTCTCAAGCCGGGACTCGAGCATGCCGGCACGCCCGGGCCCAGACCCACTTGCTGGAACAGCCTCAAGCTCAGTCTCAAGCTCAGTAATCCGGAGCTTGGCAGCAGTCACATCGGCCATGGCGTCGTGAACGACAGAGACAACCTGCTCAAGATCGGCGATTCTGGCATGAGCAGCGGTGAGGTCAGCGCTACTAACCTGACGCTCAACCGGCGAATGCGCATCAGAATCGACAAGCGAAAGCTCAGTGGATGGAGCCGACTCGTGCTGAGCAATGCGGGTACGAGCAGCGTCAAGCTCAGCCTCTAGCACAGCCAACCGCCTCTGAGCCGCCTCGGCTTCAGCAACTGTCTCTTCGACAGCAGCAGCAACAGGCTCGATCGCAGAGATATGGTGGCGGGCTGCAGCTAGCTCCGTCTCCAGCGCCACAACTCGCCCCTGCAGGTCGGCGTCGCCTCCAGACTCCAGCTCTGCAATACGGTCACGGGCAACTGCCAGCTCACCGACAACGTCATCAGCAGCCTCCTGCACGGCCGCGAGCTTACCGACTGCAGCACGCTGTGAGGCAGCAAACTCTGCTGCATCGGCTTCCAGCATGACGTTGCGACGCTTGGCGGCAGTTACATCATCCATGGCTTCGTGAACAACGGCTGCAACATGCTCGAGCTGCACAATCTTGGCGCGCGCAGCCCCAAGCTCGTCTTCGGTCTCGTCTTCGGGGTGGTTGACTCGGGCGCGACTGCTGGGACATCGACCGGAGACGCAGCTGCCTCGAGCTTGGCGATGTGATCACGAGCAGCGCTGAGCTCGACTTCCAACACAGCCACCCGCTCCTGAACGGCTTCTGTCTCGGCCCCTTCTCCTCGGCGGCAGCAGCAGCAGCCTCGAGCTCGGCGATGTGATCACGAGCAGCGCTGAGCTCGACTTCCAACACAGCCACCCGCTCCTGAACGGCTTCTGTCTCAGCCCCCTTCTCCTCGGCGGCAGCAGCAGCGGGCTCGAGCTCGGCGATGCGGCTGTGGGCGGCCGCCAGCTCACCAACAACATCATCAGCAGCTGCTTGCGCAGCCGCTAGCTTGTCAATCGCTACAGGGCGCAGCGTAAGAGAGCCTGACACATCTGCATCGGTTACAACCGAGTCGACAGAACGAGCACCCGGTAGGAAGTCGCGGGCAGCCTCGAGCTCGGCCTCAAGCTCTGCATTGCGGCGCTTGGCGGCGGCCACATCATCCATGGCTTCGTGAACAACGGCTGCAACTTGCTCGAGCTGCACAATCTTGGCGCGCGCAGCCTCAAGCTCGTCTTCGGTCTCGTCTTCGGTTTCGAGAACGGGGGTGGTTGACTCGGGCGCGACTGCTGGGACATCGACCGCAGACGCAGCTGCCTCGAGTTCGGCGATGTGATCACGAGCAGCGCTGAGCTCGGCTTCCAACACAGCCACCCGCTCCTGAACGGCTGCTGTCTCGGCCCCCTTCTCCTCGGCGGCAGCAGCAGCGGGCTCGAGCTCGGCGATGCGGCTGTGGGCGGCCGCCAGCTCACCAACAACATCATCAGCAGCTGCTTGCGCAGCCGCTAGCTTGTCAATCGCTACAGGGCGCAGCGTAAGAGAGCCTGACACATCTGCATCGGTTACAACCGAGTCGACAGAACGAGCACCCGGTAGGAAGTCGCGGGCAGCCTCGAGCTCGGCCTCAAGCTCTGCATTGCGGCGCTTGGCGGCGGCCACATCATCCATGGCTTCGTGAACAACGGCTGCAACTTGCTCGAGCTGCACAATCTTGGCGCGCGCAGCCTCAAGCTCGTCTTCGGTCTCGTCTTCGGTTTCGAGAACGGGGGTGGTTGACTCGGGCGCGACTGCTGGGACATCGACCGCAGACGCAGCTGCCTCGAGTTCGGCGATGTGATCACGAGCAGCGCTGAGCTCGGCTTCCAACACAGCCACCCGCTCCTGAACGGCTTCTGTCTCAGCCCCCTTCTCCTCGGCGGCAGCAGCAGCGGGCTCAAGATCAGCAGCATGGGCACGCACAGCATCAAACTCAACCTCCAGCTCGGCCACGCGCTCAGAAACCTCATCAGTTTCGGCCGCCTGGAGCGCGACAATGTGATCATGTGCAGCCGCAAGCTCACCAACCACGTCGTCGGCTGCAGCCTGCAGAGCTGCCAGCTTCTCCGCGGCGACCTCATACTGGCGATCAACGACGTAGACCTTGGTCGCACCAATGCCCGAGGGTACACCCGACTCGACCCCAGCCACAAAGTCACGAGCAGCAGCCAGCTCGCCCTCCAGCTCGTCGATTCTGTGCTTCGCGGCGGCGACATCAGCCATCGCATCGTGGACGGTTGCCACAACCTGTGCCAGCTCGGCGATCTGAGCGCGCGCTTCCACCAGCTCGGCCTCAGTTTTAGCGACAACCTGATGGGCCTTGTCAGCGGGGGCTGCATCCTGCGATGCGTGAGCGGTAGCGAGGTCGCCGACGACATCATGCGCGGCGGAATGCACGTGAGCGAGCCGTGCAGAGGTCTCGTGCAGCTTGGTCTCCAGGAATCTCACCCGTTCGCTGCTACGGCGCGCAGCGTCGTGTGCAACTGCGGCATCGCCAACGACTGTGCTTGCTGCAGCACGTGCTTCGTCCAAGCGACGTGCAGCGTTGCACAGTTTGATCTCGAGTGCATCGACGCGTCCGTGCTCGGCGGCTTCAGTTGCATGCAACGAAGTGGTCTCGGTGCGTGCGGCGACGGGCTGCGCCTCGAAGTGAGTCAGCCGCTGGGCACCGGCGCGAGCATCAGCAAGCTCGGCCACAACAACATCTGCAGCAAGACGCACGGCGTGCAGCTGCTTGATGCGAGACTGCTGCAGATTGCTGTGGCGCACATCACGCTCATGGGCCTCGACTAGGGCCATGTGCTCCCGGGTGGCGTTGACGTCGTCCATGGCGCGGGTGATGGTATCAACGACAAGCTCCAGCTCTGCAACCTGGCGACGAGCCATGACGAGGCGCTTGTGCTCGGCGACGGCGCCCTCATGCTCGAGTTCGGCCACGCGCGCCCGGGCGACGGCGAGTTCGTCGACAACACGAGAGGCGGCGGCCTGGACAGCGGCTAAGTCGACAAGCCGGGCCTCCTGCACGTCGGGCGGGAGGGCGATTGCTTCGCGAGGAGCCACACGTGACGGATCAGCGGCAGTCACAGTGCGGATTTCTGGACGTGATTCAGGCGCATCGGCAGCGTCAGCCTGGAGCTCGATCAGCCGGGTCTCCAGTGCTCCCACCTTGAGCGCAAGCACCTTTGTCTCGGGCTCCAGCGCGACGAGGCGAGCTTCCGCTGCCTCAAGCTCGGCAATCCGAGCCCTGAGCGTCTCTTGCTCAGCGTGACGACCTGCGTCGTCAAGGTCATTGCCTGCAGGACGAGCAGAGTGAGACTCGGAATGGACAGGTGTAGACTGCATCCGGGGCATCTCATGTTCAGCGGCAAGCGTCGCGACAGGTTCCTGCTCGGCGGCGATCGCATCAATGAAGTCTGTCTCGGTGTTGTGGGCGTTGAGAACCCCAGCCTGTACTTCCAGCTCGACAACCCTTGTCTCGGCAACTTCCAGCTCGGCGACCCGCGCCTCGGCAACCGCGAGCTTCGGCTCAATCTCGGCAACCTTGGCCTCGGCAGCCTCGAGCTGCGGCTCAATCTCGGCGACCTTGGCCTCGGCAGCCTCCAGTTCGGCAACCTTGGCCTCGGCAGCCTCCAGCTTCGGCTCAATCTCGGCAAGCTTGGCCTCGACAGCCTCCAGCTCGGTGACCCGCGCCTCGGCAGCCGCGAGCTGCGGCTCAATCTCAGCAACCTTGGCTTCAGCAACCTCCAGTTCGGCAGCCTTGGCCTCGGCAGCCGCGAGCTGCGGCTCAATCTCGGCAACCTTGTTGGCCCTGGCAGCCTCTAGTTCGGCAACCCTGGCCTCAGCAGCTTCCAGCTTCGGCTCAATCTCGGCAAGCTTGGCCTCGGCAGCCTCGAGCTGCGGCTCAATCTCAGCAACCTTGACCTCGGCAGCCTCCAGTTCGGCAACCTTGGCTTCGGCAGCCTCGAGCTGCGGCTCAATCTCGGCAAGCTTGGCCTCGGCAGCCTCCAGCTCGGTGACTCGCGCCTCGGCAGCCGCGAGCTGCGGCTCAATCTCGGCAACCTTGGCCTCGGCAGCCTCGAGCTGCGGCTCAATCTCGGCGACCTTGGCCTCGGCAGCCTCCAGTTCGGTGACCCGCGCCTCGGCAGCCGCGAGCTGCGGCTCAATCTCAGCAACCTTGGCTTCAGCAACCTCCAGTTCGGCAACCTTGGCCTCGGTAGCCGCGAGCTTCGGCTCAATCTCGGCAAGCTTGGCCTCGGCAGCCTCCAGTTCGGCAACCTTGGCCTCGGCAGCCTCCAGCTCGGTGACCCGCGCCTCGGCAGCCTCCAGCTTCGGCTCAATCTCGGCAAGCTTGGCCTCGACAGCCTCCAGCTCGGTGACCCGCGCCTCGGCAGCCGCGAGCTGCGGCTCAATCTCGGCAACCTTGGCCTCGGCAGCCTCCAGCTCGGTGACCCGCGCCTCGGCAGCCGCGAGCTGCGGCTCAATCTCAGCAACCTTGGCTTCAGCAACCTCCAGTTCGGTGACCCGCGCCTCGGCAGCCTCCAGCTTCGGCTCAATCTCGGCAAGCTTGGCCTCGACAGCCTCCAGCTCGGTGACCCGCGCCTCGGCAGCCGCGAGCTGCGGCTCAATCTCGGCAACCTTGGCCTCGGCAGCCTCCAGCTCGGTGACCCGCGCCTCGGCAGCCGCGAGCTGCGGCTCAATCTCAGCAACCTTGGCTTCAGCAACCTCCAGTTCGGCAACCTTGGCCTCGGCAGCCTCCAGCTTCGGCTCAATCTCGGCAAGCTTGGCCTCGACAGCCTCCAGCTCGGTGACCCGCGCCTCGGCAGCCGCGAGCTGCGGCTCAATCTCGGCAACCTTGGCCTCGGCAGCCTCGAGCTGCGGCTCAATCTCGGCGACCTTGGCCTTGGCAGCCTCCAGTTCGGCAACCTTGGCCTCGGCAGCCTCCAGCTTCGGCTCAATCTCGGCAAGCTTGGCCTCGACAGCCTCCAGCTCGGTGACCCGCGCCTCGGCAGCCGCGAGCTGCGGCTCAATCTCAGCAACCTTGGCTTCAGCAACCTCCAGTTCGGCAACCTTGGCCTCGGCAGCCTCCAGCTTCGGCTCAATCTCGGCGACCTTGGCCTCGGCAGCCTCCAGCTTCGGCTCAATCTCGGCTACCTTGGCCTCGGCAGCCTCCAGTTTCGGCTCAATCTCGGCAACCTTGGCCTCGGCAGCCTCCAGCTTCGGCTCAATCTCGGCAACCTTGGCCTCGGCAGCCTCCAGTTTCGGCTCAATCTCGGCAACCTTGGCCTCGGCAGCCTCCAGCCCGGCAACCCGTGCCCGCAGACTATCAGCCTCACCGGCGAGCTCCCCAAGGCATACAACAAGCTCCTCGGCACCATCCCGCACCGCCTCTACGTCTGCAAGCGCCCAGCCAACTCCGCGCTGCGCACCGGCAACCAGCGCGCTCTCCGCGGCCTCTCGCGCCGCCTCCACCTGCGCGAGCCAACTCTCCATTTTGGGCGAGCCAGCGGCCCGGCTCTTCCGCAGCGCCTCAACAGCCCGCCGGTGCATGCCCACTTCCGACGCGTACACCTGAAGCATCGCCTCGGCGTCGCCAAGCTCCACCCGGAGCCGCTCGTTCTCGCGTGCGAGCCTCCGCGCCTCGCCCGGCGTGAGGCTGCTCAACTCGGGCTCAACGAGGTCCAGCGACGTGTCCTGCACCACCTCGCCACTCGCTGGCGTCGCCATCTGGCTCTGGAGGTGCAGGCCTCCCAGCAGCGCCACCTGCTCGATGAGCGCCTCGACCTGCGCCTGCAAGTGCGACGTGATGAGGAGCGTCGACGCGTGGTGGTCTTCTGCCGCCGATGCCGTAGACACCAGCTGGGTGTGGAGCTCCTTCTTGTCAGCCACCAGCCGTCCCAGCTGGAGACGGAGCTTGTTAACAGCTCCTGCGAGCGCCTCGCGCTCAGCGCACAACGTCTGATTCTCCGACGCGAGTGCATCGTTAGCATCCTGCACCGCTGCAGACTCGGATGCGAGCTGCTCATGGCCCTCGGCGAGCCATGCGTTTGACGCCTCGAGCGCAGCAACCTGGTTGGCGAGCTGACGCACTCGGTCCGCCAATTCGCCCTTTTCGAGCACGCTCGTCTCGAGCGCGCCGGCCAGAGCCGTTGCCGCCGCGCGCGCCTCGCGAACCGATGCCAACCGCAAGCCAACCGCGTCGCGCGAAGGACCGGCGTTTGCCTCACGCACTGCATCGTCGAGCCGCCGCTGGAGCACCGCAATGTGGGTGCTCGCCTCCTGCTCCTCGTACATTGTCTCGTCCACAAACGCCGAGAGCACAGGCAGTGCCTCGTGTAGCGCAGCCACCTCGTCTTCAACCACAAGCTCGGCCGCGTCGGCCTCCGAGCACGACCCGCCTGACGAGAACGAGAGCGACTCGATCGTCGTCGCTGCCTCCAGAGCTGCCCGCAAGTGGCTGATCTCGTCCGCAGTCCCCGTCTTGATCCGCGTGTACGCGCCTAGGAGCGCCTCAAACTGGACCCGGAGGTCGTCGTACAGCGCTTGCAGCTCCGCGTGTGCACCACCCAGCGCATGCAGCCGGTGCGCCGCCGTTTCTGACGCCGCGTACAGCTCATCGCGCTCGGCCACCAGTGCCCGCCGGTCCGCGAGCGCCACGTCCAGAGACGCGTTCTCACTCTCCAGCCTCGCAATAGTCTCGGCGGCTGCTGCCGCCTCCTGCCGCAGCTCATTGAGTGACTCTTCGGCGTCGACAAGCGCTGCCTGAAGATGGCCCTTGCGCCGTGTCACCATCGCCGTCTGCGACGTCATCGACTCGAGCTCGCGCTGCGCCACGTCCAGCGCAATGACAAGGTCGGCCTTCTCAGCCTGGAGCTGCGCCTTTTCGCGGGTGAGCGTCGTAACCTGGCCACGCAGTTGCTTCGACGGGCCCGACGGCGACGATGCCACCAAGTTTTCCTTGTCTAGCGGAGTCCGCGCCGGTCGCGCCACTGGCCCGCTCCGCCGGTTCTCCTCCACCGCCCGCATCTGCTCAAACCGCAGCATGAGCGCCTCGGCCTTGCGCTGCAGCGCATCCCGCTCCTCTCCGAGCCGCTCGTTGGCCTCGCGCTCGTCCTCGAGCGAGTGCTCCAGCTCACGGATCCGTCTTGCCGCTGCTACCTGGCTTTCTTCGAGTTTGGTCCTCAGCCCGGCTGTTGAGTCGGCGCCGCGCTGTTCCGCACTCGCAGCCTCGGTCTCGAGCGCTACGTTGCGAGCCTCGACGTTGCGCAGCTGCCGCTCCAGCTGCAACACACGCTCGTCCGCCACCGCCAGTCGCTCCGACAGCGCCGACCGCCGGTGGATCTCCTCGTGGAGTGTCACCGATATCGTGTCGAGGTCTGCCACAGCCGACGACGCGTCGGCCTCGGCCTCGAGCGCAACAATCCGCGCTGATGCGTCGTTGCGGTAACTCTCAAACGTGGTCTGGACTTCCTCCAGCGCCTGCGAGAGCGAGAGCGAGAGCTCTTTCTCCCGTGCCAGCGCGTTGCGGTGTGACTCGAGCAAGTCCTTGGCCTCGCTCAGCTCAGACTTGAGGCCCTGTGTCGTCGCCACCAGCAGCGACCGCTCGGCACCAAACCGCGCCTCGAGATCGCTCAGCTCCCGGGCATGCTCTGCGCTCAATGTGTCCAGCGAGTAAAGCGCGCTCTCCAGCTCGCCCTCGTCGTCCGACGACGAGCTTGCCGCCAGCTCCGCGCCTGACCGCGACGAGCCCGGCCCGAGTGAGAGCAGCGCAAGCTGTGACCGGAGCTTAGCATTGGCTCTGGTCTTTGCCGCGCACGACGACAATAGCGACGCATTAGCCTCCGTCAGCTGAGCCACGTTCCCAGCAGCCGCCGACTGCTGCGCCAGCGCCGAAGTCAGCAGCGTCCGGAAGTGCGGGAGACGGTCGGCGGGCAAGTGGCTCTCGCAAAAGAGCGCCACAGCTTCCAGCGCCATGTGCTCTGCGTGACGCTGCGTGTTTGTGTGTGTGCGTGTGTGTGTGTGTATGTATGTGTGTATGCGACTGTTGCTTCTCTGCTCGCTCGGCTCTGCTCCCACGCCCACGTGCAGTGTCCTTCTCTCGGCTCTCGGTACTCTGCCTGCCTTCGCGCTCGCGCCGAATGCTGAACCGCCGACTAGGTGAATCGCCCTGAAACCGCACCTCTGCCAAGTGACTTTTACGCTGCTACCGCTCGTCACTGTCGGTCGAGTCCATGAACAGTGCATCGATGCGGGTCGGCGTCGGTGCCTTGGGCTCGTCCAAGGCGAGATGCGAGATGTCGAGCTGGGTCACAGAGGTCTGCCGCCGGCTGGCCATGGGCGTTGCTTCGATGAGCTCTTGTGCCTCATGGGCGCAGTCGTCCGACGACTCGTCGTGGGCCAGCTCCTTCTCGTTGGCGATGTGCTGGAGCTGCGAGGCGTCAAAGTCGATGTCGTCTGTCGACGTCTCACCCCCGCCGTGGCCCATCAGCCTGTCCAGGTCATCCAGGTCGTCGATGCTCTCTACCGGTGGCGGGTGCGCTCCGGCAAGCGGCGGCGGCGGCGGCGGGAGCGAGCCGGTGCTGGCCTCGGCGGCAGGTGCGGCCGGACGCGGCGAAGGCGCAGCACAAGCCTCCTCGGCTGCGTGAGCCTCGCTCGTTTCATCGCTGCTCGCAAGCCGCGAGCCGTGGACTCGCTCCTCTTCGGTCTTGAGAAAGTCGGGAAAGTCCGGGACCGGCGGCGGCTCGTCGATGGGCGTGTCTTCGATGACTGGCTCTGGAGCCTTGAGAAACGCGTGTGCCGGATGCAGTTCCGAGCCCAGGTCGCGGGTATGCTCATCTTCGTGCTTACCTGCGACGTGTGAAATCCAGAACGCCACCTCGCCCACGCGGACCGAGTACGGCGGCAGCGGCGTGCCGAGCATCGGGTCCCACATCGCCGCCAGCGCCGGCGCGAGCTTCTTGCCGAGGGCGTAGTACCGCCGCGCGAGAAGCGGCCTGTTTGTCAGCACCGCCGTATACGCCAGCAGCCGGTACGCACGCGACAGATAAATGGCGTCCATCGACGCCGCTCGGATGTACGCAATGAGGTCCTTGCGCGCCTTGGACACCGCGTCGGCGTCGCCGAGACAGATCAGTGCGTTGGCCCGAAAGTACGGCGCCGGCGAGAGGTCATCGTCGGCCTGCAGTGCAACAGCCATCGACAGGTCGTACACTGCCAGCCGGAGGCCCTTGTCCTTGGCCGACGGCACACGGTGCTGCCGCGCCCGATTGTACCGCACCACCCCGCGGAGGAACCAGAGCAGGCCGTCGTTGGGATAAGCCTCGATGGCCGCGGTCAGCGCTTTGGTCGCCTTTGGCCGCGAGACCACAAACGAGGTTAGCACTGCCGAGGCCCGCGGCGGGACCTCGGGATCCGACGCCAGCATCGCCAGCAGCTGCGGGCTCAGCCCACCCCCGGCGCGCCCCTCAGCTTCTCCTGCTCCAGTCGCAGCGCCTCCGCCAGCTTGGCTCCAGCCGTGGCGGGGTCCCACTCTGCCATCTCCCGCGCTTCTTCCACACACGAAACTGCATGTCGCCACTGTGCGTAGGCCGAGCCGAGCGGTGCACCCGGCAGAGGCAGGCCGACATCGGCCAGCTCCACCTCGTACTGCGCGAGCGCGTTCATCGCCACTCACCCGCCGCAACAAGCTCAACAAGCTCAGCGCCCGTGACAAAGGACGTCAGGTAGAAGTAAACGCGTGTGAGTGAGCGAGAAAGAGAGAGAGAGAGAGAGAAAGAGAGAGAGAGGTCTGGAAGCGTCGAGAGTGTATCCGCATTCACCCTCACACCACCTGGCCTCTGCCCGCGTCGGCTGTCGGACCGCCGTCCGCCGGCTCACGCCAACCGCTCAACCGCCGACCAACAACCGCCCAATGGTACCCCCCCATTACTGCCAATGGCCACCACCAATGGACAGTCGGCTGGCAGGCCACAGTTCTCTCGCAGCATGAGTCGCTCCGGCCGCAGAGACTCGTTCCGCGAGCCGGTCACAGCCGACGAGGCTAATGCTATTGCTAAGCGTGTACGCCTGCCAGATTGTTCTTCCCCTCTCTCCTTCCCTGCCTGCCCTCTTTTTGTCCTTGCATTGCCCAGAGGCAGCAGCAAAAGGCCGTGCGGCGTGCCGAGCCGGTGATGGCCAAATTCAGGTGAAAGGCTGGCATTTTTTCGCCCTGTCTCCCTCGCCTTCCTCGCCTTCCTCGCCCTCCCCACACTGCTAGCGCCACACCACAGCCACCCACCACCTTGCTCGAGACAGCTTTGGTGCAGTTGTAGAAGACCATCCCCCCCTCCCCTCTGCTAGTTTGCCATGCCCATCTGACGCATGGCGTCGGCTACGCTCCGTTCCCAGCACCTGATCACGATCACCGGGTGAACTCACCGACGCCGACGACCCCCAGACCTTCACCAAGTGGATCAACTCGCAGGTGGAGAAGCATGGGCTCAATGTGGACGATTTGGCGACGGACTTGGACACAGGAGTGGTCCTTTGTATTTTGCTGGAGGAGTTGTCGGGCATGAACGTCGGCCCGTACACCACCAAGGTTAAGAACCAGTTCATGGGCACCGCCAACCTCAACACAGCCATGACCTTCCTCATGGACACCGCCAAGATTCCGCTCGTCAACATCGGTGCCGAAGACATCCAGCACCACAACCTCAAAATCATCATGGGCCTCATCTGGCAGCTCATCATCCGGTTCGAGCTGCAGGGCGAGGACGGCAAGGGCGGCGAGAAGGCCGCCAAGTCGGCCATGCTCTCGTGGATCCACGACACGCTCGGCGCCATGGGTAACGACATGCGCATCGACGACTTTAAGCGCTCATTCATGGACGGCAAGGCCTTTCTTGCCATCCTGCACTCGCTCGACCCGAGTCTGCTCACCGAGGAGCAGCTGGCGTGCGACGATGCCCGGACCAACCTTGAGCTCGCCTTTTCGCTTGCCGAGGAGCACTTTGGCGTCGCACGCATCCTTGACGTCGAGGACATGCTCAACGGCGGTGACGAGCGCGCCGTCCTCACCTATGTCTCACAAATCTTCAAGGCCCAGCGCGCCATGTCCGAGGCCAAGATGAAGGATCTGGAGGCGCTGCGCGCTGCCCATGCCGCCGAGCAAGCGTCCAAGGCCGAGCTGGAGACCTCGCTTGGCGACGCCGAGGCCCGCATCCTCGCTCTCGAGGCCCGCATCGACGAGCTGGAGAAGGCGTTGGCTGAGTCGGAGGACGACTCGGCCGCCAAGGCTGCCCAGATTGCCGATCTTCGCGAGCAGCTGGCTGCCGCCAAGGCTCAGGCCGCCGACGCCGACGCCGGCGCCGCTCAGGCCCTGGCCGACCTCAAGGCCGAGCTCGACGCTCTTGATGCCAAGGCTGCTGCCAAGGCTGCCGAGGTCGAGAAGCTGCAGCGCGAGCTCGCCGCCGAGCGGAGCAAGGCCGAGACCGCCGAAGACGAGGCTGTACGAGGCCGCCGCCGTGCCAACACGCTCTCTTCAGAGCTCGAGGAAGCCGTCGGCGAGGCCGACGGCGCCAAGGCTGCGCTTTCGGACGCCAAGTCGAAGATTCGCTCGCTCGGCAGCGCACTTGCCGACGCCGAAGCTAACAACAAGCGCCTCGCTGCCGACCTTGCCCGTGCCCGTGACGACCTCGAGGACGCACAGGCGACGCCGACGCTAGACCTCTCCAAGTACGCGCCGCGCTCCGAGCTCGACGCTGCGCTCCGCGATCTTGTCGATGCCCGTAACGAGGGCGAGCTGGCAAAGGCCAAGGCTAGAGCGGCAGAGGCCCGCCTGGCCGAGTCTGAGGACGAGCTGGCCAGCCTCCGCCGTGAGGCCGACAAGGCTAAGCGTGCCGCCAAAGAGGCCAAGTCGGCCGTGCGCGAGACCGAGGACGCGCTGCTCCGTGCCAAGTCCTCGCGTCCGCGGGCCGGCTCGGTCGTCGACGTCTCCAAAGTCCGTGCCAAGGACCGCGAGCTCGCTGCTGCTGCTGCCGCAGCCGCCGACAAGGACGCCGAGATTGCCCGCCTCCGTAGTAAGCTGGAAGAGGCCCTCGGCGAGCTTGCCCGCGAGCGGAAGACCTCGCAGCGCCGCTCGCGCGCGCTCTCACAGGCGCCCCTCCCGCAGGATCTTGATGACGTTTCGGACGAGCTCGACGCTGCTCGCCGTAAGCTCCGCAAGCTCGAGCGCGACAACGCCGATCTGATGGCGCGCCTGGCCGAGGCCGAGGCGCTTATCGACTCTGCGTCCGGCGCCAATGCTACTCTCAAGGCCAACGCCGAGGCCCAAGTCCGCCAGCTCCGCGACGCGCTGCAGGGCCAGCTCAACGCTGCGCTCCTCACCAAGGACCGCGAGCTGGCGCGAGTGACCGAGGAGCGCGACGACGCCGCCGCCGACCGCGACGCCGCCGCCGCCGCTGCCGCTGCCGCTGCCAAGGAGAACAACCTACTGAGCACACGCGCGGCCGAGCTCGAGGCTGAGCTGGCCAAGGCCAAGGCCGACGCTGCAGACAAGCTCGCGCGGACCAAGCGGAAGCTAGAGGACCAGATTCGCTCGCTCCGGGAGGGCCAGCGCGGCTCGGTCACGCTCAACAACCACAATCTCGAGCTCATCGAGCAGCTCAAGGCCACCAACCGCAAGCTCAAGGAGGAGGCCCAGGCCCGTGAGGGCCGACTCTCGTCGCTGCAGGCCGAGCTCTCGGCAGCGCTCGCCGAGGCTGCCCGTGCCGAGACCAAGGCCGACACGCTCGCGGCCGACGCGTCGCGGATGAAGGCCCGACTCGGCGACCTCTCGTCCAAGCTCGAGGCGTCGGGCCTCGAGCTCTCCCGCGCGCAGAGCGAGATGACGCGGACCGTTGCCGAGCTCAATGCCAAGGACGCTCGGATCAAGTCGGTCGAGGCCCAGATGGCGGCTGCTGAGGACCGGGTCACCGACGAGCGCGAAAAGGCACGCCGCGCCGAAACTCGCGCCATCGAGGCCGAGGCTGAAGTTGACGCGCTCAAGGCGCTGGCCAAGCGCAAGGCTAACGCCAAGTCGGCATACGACGTCTCGGAGCTCCTCGCCCAGATCGACGCGCTCAAGAAGGAGAAGATCACCCTCCGCAAAAAGTGGAAGAAGGCTCGGACCCGCGCAGACGTCGCGTCCAGCGAGGCCGCCTCGGCGTCGACTCGCGCCGCCGAGGCATCGTCGGCTCTGGCCACCGCACAGGCGGATCTCCGCTCGGCCAAGGCCACCGCCGAAGACGCGACCCGCAAGGTCGCCTCGCTCGAGCATGCCCTCACCCGCGCCCACGACGACGCCGACGCCGCCAACGAGAAGCTTGCCCGTCGCGAGGATGAGCGCACCATCCTCACCGCCCGCGTCGCCGACCTCGAGCTTGCCGTCGCCCGCAACCGCAACCCGACTGGCGTCGATCCCGACGAGCTCCTCGCTGCCAAGCGCGCCGCTGACGCCGAGGCCGCCCGCCTCCGCGCCGACGTCGCCCATCTCAGCTCGCTCCTCGACGACGTCAAGTCGCGCCTTTCGTCGGAGACCCGCCTCCGCGGCGACGCAGAGCGCGGCGCAGGCGAAGCCCAGGACGCAGTCCGCCGCATGGAGCGCAAGATTAAGCGCCTCCAAGGCGCCGTCTCGGGCCTCGAGACCGAGCTCGAGGACGAGCGCCGGCTCAGGTTGCGCGCTCGCTGAACGACGTCGAAACTTGCGGTCACCCGCAGCCGCACGGCACGGACCTGACGCCCGGCCACCACTGACCCACGCCGCCCGCCAAACCCATACACACACACTTGTCCTTTCACCACCACCACCTTCCCTTCACTCACACACCAACCACTCATGCTTCGCCTCGCGCTTACCGCGCCCCTGGCAGCATTCCGTCCAGCCGCGGCAGCCGCCGCCGCCGCGCCGCACCTGGCCCGCGCCGCGTCATCCACCCGGTCGTCGGCGGCGGCGACGACGACGTCTGTGCTCGGCAGCCGAAGCGCCGTGGCTCGGGCTCGTCGGCGGGCTGACGAAGCCGACAAGGCCGCCGGCATTGTGAGCAGACGGTCCGGGCAGGCGCTCGAGTGGTTTGAGGATAGAAAGCCGATGCGGCGGCTGGCGGCGGCGGCAGTAAGCTCGTCGACGGCGGCGGTGGCCGGCGGCCGCGAACTGCTGGGCGATCTGTGGCTGGGATGTGTCCGGCTCTTCCGCAACGCCCGGCTGACGGCTCGACTCGAGGCGCAGACGGCAGATGCGGTGCGGAAGCGGTTCTCGCGTCGCCGGAGGCAGCGGTTTGTGGACAAGACGTATGCCGATCTCAAGCGGCTCGTGCCGTTCGCCCTCCTCAAGGTCATGCCCATGTCGACCGTCACCCTCCCGCTGGCCATCAAGGCCTTTCCTTCGCTCCTGCCGTCGACCTTTAAGCTCCGCATCCTCGGCGGATCGAGCGCCGAGTCGCGGGCGCAAGCGGCGGCCAAGGCGCGGTCGGCGGCGGCGGCCATGATCGCCAAGCTGCGGCTCGGCGAGCTCGCCCTCTCAGACCATGCCTTCCGGGCGCTGACCTCGGAGCAGATGGCGCCGCTGCGGTATGTCCGCCGCGGCTCGCCGGTCTCGGCAGACGACATCATCGGCAACGAGTCTGTGTTTGTCGAGCACATGCGCCTGCCGGCCGCCCCGACTCCAGCACTCAAGTCACTGGCTGCAAGGATGGGCCTGCCCATGTGGGGCCCACGCTGGGTTGTCTACACCCGCCTCCTCCGCCACTTTAACCACATCATCCGCGACTCGGCCCTCATCCACGCCGAGGGCATGCATGCGCTCTCCCACGACGAGCTCATTGTCGCCGCCCGCGAGCGCGGCCTCCGCATCGAGGGTCTTACCGAGGCTCACATCGTTGCTGCCATCCGCGAGTTTAACAAGCTCGCCGCACACTCGCCGGCTCTTGTCTCTTCGCTGCTGCTCTTTGCCCATGGCAACTGCATCACCGAGTTGTGGCTTGCTCCGTCGACCCGGTTGTGAGCGTGCTCAGCTCGAGCCTAGGCGAGAGCTCGAGCTCGGGCTCGACGAGCGGTCCGAGTCGGAGAGGCCGTCGCCATCAGTATCGATGGAGAGATGCGCCCGTTCGGCGCCATGGTGCGGGGTGTGGTGCATGCCGTCGGCGTCTGACGACTGCGAGCGGAGGAATGTCGACATGAGGACCTCCTCCTCCTCCTTGCGCTTCTTGACCTCGACTCGCTTGGGGATGATGCGGCAGCACCCGTTCCACAGCACGAACAAAGCAAGCAGACCCACAAAGACCACCGCAGCCATGAGCCCGATCCAGGTGCCGAGGTACACCTTTGAGTCTTCGGTGACCGGCGAGAGCGACGGCGGCGGCGGCGGCGCATTGGCCTGCACCACCGCAGCCATGTCCACTACGCAAACAACCACAAGGGCGCAAGCCACACACCAGTCGCCACGCCACGCTACCACTGCGCCACCTTGGCTCTGGCGGCTGGGCGTGGTGCTGCCGCTGACGCTGGTTGTCGTCCAGCGAGTCAGCCACCGGCCAGTCGCCGTCATAGGGAAAGTGTGCGGTGGGATGTGTGTGTGTGTGTGTGTGTGGTGGGGGTAGGGGGGGGGGGGAGGGAGGGAAGGGAGGGAGGGTGGAGGGTGGAGGTGGTGGGGGAGGGGGAGCAGGTGGGGGTGGCGAGGGGGGGGAGGGGCAGTGTCCAGCCCTGGGCGGCGATCAGGGGGGACGTGATCAAGGCGGGGCGGAGCGGGGGCAACAGGAAAAGGGCTTCAACTCGGACCACTCAGCGCTCCTTCCTCCCCCTCACCACCACCACCACCACCACCACCACCACCACCACCGCCACCACCGCCACCACTCATCCATTCCTCTCCCGTCATGAGGCTGGCTTTACCTCTCCTCACCCTCGTCCTCGTCCTCGCCCTGGCCGACGGCTTCTCCTGGTCCCACCCGCAGCTGGCGGCGACTGCGGTAGCCTCGCCCACGGTCTCTTGTGGCGAGAGCGCTTCTTCTCTGCATGCGCTGCCTCTGACCAGCCGCCAGGCTGCCGCCGCAGTCATCATCAGTCTCGAGAACGATGACTCGGCTGTTGCTCTGGGCTTGGGCATGCTGCCGAGCGTCCACGCCCGCCTCCTCTCGCCCGTGGCTGGCACTGCGGGTCTTCCCGATGCGACGCTGGCCGACTCGCAGCCGGAGCTGTGGGAGATCAACGAGCTCGCGGTGTCTGATCTGGCCTGCGCTCAGCCGCAGTTTGTCATTCCACTGCCGCGCTTGGACATTGGGTGGCTGGTGCTCACTGCGCTTGCACCGGACGTTTTCCATCCGCCTCTCCCGCTCGCCTCGATTGTGGTGCCTGTCACTCCCATGGCTTCCAGGGTGCTCCCGGCTGCGTTGGCAGTCGATGCCGTGGCGCTGGCCAGCAAGAGCTTGCCGGCCAACGTTGCTGCTGCGCTCAACACTGTCCACTCGGACGCGCTGCTCGCCAGCCCGCATGGGGTCTGGGCCTGGTCCTCGGTCGCCGAGCCGGAGCTGGTGGTCGCCTTTCCACAGCTACCGGGCCGTCACGCCGGGTCGCTGGGCGGGGTGGCGACTTCGACCGCTGTCGGAGCATGGGCGGCCGTCACCGTCTGCCGCGTCACTCCGCCGGGCCCACTCCGCTTGGACATCCATCCTGTTCCGCGGGCCGACGACGCTCTGTTTCTCGCCACAACGCCCGGCACGCTCTACGCATTCAACTTTACATCGGGTGCGTGGACGACGCTCACGTTTCCCGCGTCTTCGGGCGGCGCGGTCGTGTCTGCGCTCTACCCGGCGCGCTCGCTTCCGTGGCACTCGCCAGACTCTGGCACCGTGTATGGCATTGCCAACGCCACCGCGGTCTTTCGGGTGGCGGCGGGGAGCATTACCGTCCTGCCGCCGCTGCCGGGCGCTGTGGCTCAGGTGGGTCATCCGATTGGGCGCGGCGACGAGCCGGTGGCGCTCCTGGACTCGGGGAGCGTGTGCTTGTGGAAGCCTTCGGCGCAACGCTGGGCGGTCTCAGCGGCGCCGATGCCCACGGCGACATGGCGGGGCCTGGTGCTGTCGGCGACCGACCCGTCGGCTGCGGCGGCGTGGGCGCCGGACCGGATTGCGGTTGTCCTCTTTAGTGCCGGCTTGAACCAGCCGCCGTTGCTTGTCGAGCGAGCGACAAGCGCGACCGCGCTCTTTGGCGAGACCATTCAAGCGCTGCTGATCGCTGACGACCAGCTGCTCGGGCAGGGAGCAAGCGGCGCTTGGCACGTCGCCCGCCTCTCTGCGCTGGAGAGCCCGGCTGCGCTGCTGTCGCAGGTCTCCGGTGTTCCGCTTGTTTATCCGCTCGTGCCGCCGCTTGTCGGATGGATGAGTGCAAACGTGAGCTCCAACGGCACGCTGGCGGCGTTGGCTCGCCAAGGCGCTTCAAGCGATATGACATGTGCCGCAGTGTCTGCCACAGTGAGCGTCGACGAGCTCAGCAGTGGAAACCGGCGGCGGACTCTGCTCCGCGGCGGTGGCGCGTCTTTGGCAGCGTTTGCCGATGGCGACCTGCCAGAACACTCGCCGCTATATCTTGACTACGGGGAGAGACTCACGCTTCGGCTCCGCACTATGCTCACCGAGGCCGGTGCGGCGGCGGTAGCGACCCTCGGCACGAACGCGTCGCCGTTTGCGGTGGCCATCTCGCGTCAGGACGACGGCGATCACCCGCGGCTGTTGGTTGAGCCGACGGTGGTCGAGCGGCCCAACGCGACGTCACAGATGCTCGAGCTCCAGATTGTTGTGCGCGAGCCCGGGCGGAGTGCAGGCTATCCGCCGATTCAGTACGGGTCGGGCGAGTCGCTGACGGCGACGCACGTTGAAGTTGCGCTCGATGTGCCAGGGGTAGGCGGTGGGCCTGGGTGCTCGCTGAGCCGGGTCGGCGCCTCGGTTGACATGCTCGTGGGCTGCGCGCCAGGCCTCTCGCTGCAGCTCAGCGAGAGCGAGACGTTTTCCCAGAGCGAGGGCTGTCGTGAGAGCGACCCGTACCCGTGCCTCTTCTTCGAGTCTGTGTTTAGGCCTGTCATCAACGTGGTCGACGCAGTGGCCGGGACCTCGTGGCCGTACATCGGGCGGATGTACTTTCGGGTGGTGGGCGGCGGCCTGACGCCTGACAGCATCAGCCGGTTCAACGCAGACGAGGTGCTCGACAACAACCTGCACGGCTCAACAATGTGGACGTTTGACTCTGATGGGTCGGGTGCGTCGTCGTCGGACCCCGTCATCTCCTCGTCGGCGAACGGTATCACCTTTGTGTGCTCCGGCACCTCGCCGTGCGCGGACATCCTGCCCAATTTCCCGGACACGCCCGAGTACTACATGCTCATTGCGATCTCGACAGTGGGCATTCCCGACGACACTTACTGCGGGCTCACCACCGAGTTTGTGCTCCGGGTCCACGGCATTCCCATGAACTTTTCGACCTCGATCTCGTTTGTCTCGGCCTCGCTCCTCGCCGTCTTTATCCCCATGGTCATCGTCTACTGTGTCAAGCGCCGGGCTGGCACCCTCGACGGCGACGGCGATGGCGACGTCCACGCCAAACGCCGTGCCCTCGTCACTGGCGCCCGGCGCACCACTCCGCGGCCTCCGTCGCGTCGGGATCTGTTTGGGTGAAAAGCCGTCGCACACCGGCCCGCTGTCACCCGCCATCATCAGCGTCTGCATCAGCATACACAAAGCCCATTCTCCGGTACCGTCCGCCCCGTCCCGCCACATCGGTCACAGCTTGGCTCTCACTCGCCTCGTCGACCCCACCGAGCACTCTTTCAAAGTAGTGTCCGACGCGATCGGCAGGCGAGAGCACCGTAAAGGACGAGACCAGCGTGTCCGGCAGCAAATCGGGATGCGACTGCTTGCGGGTGCTCGGCTTGGGCGAGTAGAGGATGTGAGCGCCGATGAGCTCGCGCTCCAGCGCTGTCACGATCTCGGGCACATCAGCCACAGCAGCCTCCCACACGCTCGCGGAGCAGCCGAGAAGTGTGGCCACATCGTTGTCAAACAGCAGAATCGAGTCCAGCACGTCGGATCTGCCGCTGGTCGCCACACGCAGCGAGAGCTTGAAGACGGCCACCGAATCGGTCTGGGCCAAGTCGCGCTTGCACGTCTTGCAGTAGAGGGCATGGTGGGTGGGATGGAAGCCCGAGTGGGCCTTGGAGCAGAAAGCACACACCGCGTACGTCAGCCTCCGCGTGTCGGCAGCCATCACAATGCCGCGCTTGCCCAGCATGCTCCTGCAGCCGCTTCCTGAGCCGAGCCGAGCCGAGCCGAGTGCTCTCGCCCGACCTGCTCGAGCTCCCCCAAAGCGAGCAAGGACCACAACCGAGGTAGGCTCAGCTCAGGCACGGCGGGTGGTATGGCCACACACGGCCAGCGGCCGGCGCGACGCACTCGTATATCATTCTTCAATCACTCCTCATTACTTTCATCCTCTTCTCCACCGCCATCGCCGGCAGCAAGGACCACCGACGATGACGACGATTGGAGCCAGGGGCGCGATCGGTTCTCACGGGACTGGGTCCGGGCGAGGAGGTTCTTGCGGGCTGAGCGGCGGGAGGACCGCGGCCGCGACGGGGTGTCGACAGCGACGCCAGCGGTGCCGCTCCGGGTGGCGCGGAGGACAGAGACGCCGGAGCGGCGGGTTGGCATCGGTGACTTGAGGTGCGAGACGATGGCAGGGCGGACAAAGATGCCGTGCTTGGCCGCGCAGTCAAAGTACTGCACGCCGGCGACAGAACCATCGTTGCGACCCCAGGCTTCGTCGAGTGCAACGCCGACCCACTCGCCGCGCGGATCAAACTGGGTGTAGCCAACAAAGGCAACGGTGCCCGGCTTGCCGCGGACAGAGACTCGGTTGCCGATCCCTAACTGGACACCCTCGACCGAGACTGACGTTCCGAGCACCGCAACCTCTTTGGTGTGGCTCTGGGCCTCGACTGACGTAGCCAGATCCTCCGGCACCAGCCGCGGACGGCTCGCCGGAACCACCGAAGACGAAGCCGACGCCGTCTCGTCGTCGGCATCGCTCGCACTCTCGGACTCTGGCTCGGACTCGGCGTCCGACTCGGAGACCGAGGTGATCTGGAGCTCGGCAGCGGCCTCATCCTCCTCGCCGAGCACGGTTGCCACAAACAGGGCCGAGATCCAAGCATACAGTCCCGCAGCGGCCTTGGAAACGTCGGCGAGAAGGTCTGGCTCAAGGTCGTTGTCGACAATGTACGGCCAGAGCGCGTCCAGCTTTTGCGGCGTCATCTCACGCTTGTAGTTGTAGGCGAGACACTTGCGGGCCAGGTTCGGGTCGCGGAGAACAGCCTCAATGTCACGCGGCAGCGCCTGTGCCGCGTGCTGAAAGGTGGCGCCGGAGCCGCGCCACGAGGTGTGCTCGTGCAGCCGCTCGCCGGCCTCGGTGTCCTTGAACAAGACCACAAGTGCCTCCATGACCTTGACGATGGGCTCGACCGGATGGACGTATGACCGCAGCTCATAGAGGTCGGCCTTGGTGAGTGCGGCCAGCTGCGCCTGCGCCGACGCATACTGCCGGCCGGCGGCCGAGTGGGCAACGAGGGCGCGCACGCGCTCGACCTGCTCGCGCCGCTCGCGGGCGGCCCAGCCCGGAAGCTCGCGGCTCCCGGCCCGGACCAGACCGCTGCGGGTGCCTTCGAGCATGACGGTGCGTCGGGCGGCGGCAGCACTGGCGGCGACCCGCATTGAGTCAGCCGGGGTCCACACACGTTTCGGGCTGGTGCGGGCGACGAGGAGGCTGGACGGGGCGCCGAGCGTGTCGCCGGATCCGCTGGCAGTCAGCGCCGCCGTGTGCTCGGCCTCGCTCACCGCCGCGCGCTCGTTGTACAGGGCGAGCAGTGCGTCGAGCTTCTCAATGACGTCCTCAGGCTGCTCCTCGCGAAGAAGCAACAGCATCTCCTCCATCTGCTCGCGCTCGAGCTCGAGGCGCGAGTAAGCGCGCGACGACTCCTCAAGCTGGGCTGCGGCCGTCTCGTACTTGGCCTTGAGGACTTCGTGCTCGGTGATGAGAGCCTCATGCTCTGCGACGGTAACCGCGTTGGACGAGGTCGAAGCGACTGACGACTTTTTGAGCTCGTTGAGCTCAAACGAGAGTAGAGCCCGCTGGCGCGCCTCCTCGTCGAGCAGGGCAGCAACTTCCTCTTCCTCGGCCACAAACGAGGTCTTGAGCTGCTCTATATCTTCGACAAGCGCCGACTGGTCGGCATCGGCCCGACGCCGCAACGCGCGCTCGCGGTGGACCATCTCCTCGGCGACCCGCAGCTCGTCCTCGAGCTCTGCAATCCGGTCGCGGAGGGTGTCCTCGGTCTCGGCCGCAGCGTCGAGCTCATGTTCGTAAGCGAGCTTGTCGTACGCCGAAAGCGAAGCGTTCTGTCGCGACTCTGTCCGCGAGTGCCGCTCGGCCCGGCGGCGCGCCGCCTTTTCTTTCTCGAGCTTGAGTGAGAGCCGCGAGATTTTGCCCTTGAGCACCTCTATCTGGTCTGTGAGCAGATCAACCTCCTCCTCCGCCCGCTCGCGCATTGCGTTGCCGTCTGCTCGTGCGCTCTCGACCGCCTGCGCCGCCGCCTCGTCGGCGGCCTGCAGCTGCGCATCGAGGTGCGAGACAAGCGCCTTGAGCGCACGCGCCTCGTACATTGCCGCTGTGGCCCGCCGCCCACTGCCGGCCTCGCTCTCACGTGTGGGTGTTTGGCCTGCCTTTCGCCGCAGGCCCCAGTCGCCGTGCTCAGGCCTCCCATGTGCCGGCTGCAGCTCATCGAACCGGACTCGTCCGGCCCACTCGCGCATGGTCCTCCGGTCCGGCGGCATCGATGCCGGCACCACCGGTTCGTTTGAGCCCATCATAGCCGATGCTCGCTCTCCTCTCCGCGTCCTGCCCTCCACCCGCGGTCGCACCAATGGCTGTGCCTTGTGCTGCTTGTACCCCCCTGCTCTTTCCCCGTCTGCGATCTGGCCATTGGCTGTGTCCTGCGCGCCGATGGCTGCGCCCCGTACGCCGATGGCTGCGCCCCGTACGCCGATGGCTGCGCCCCGTACGCCGATGGCTGCGCCCCGTACGCCGATGGCTGCGCCCCGTACGCCGATGGCGGCGGCGGCGATCTGTGCACCACCTTCATCCGATCACTACTCCCAACCGTCCGTCCGTCCAGTCCCCCCCACCACACCACCCCCCCCCCCC